CCGAAACCTAAACGGAACTCGGCTGCTAAAATAAATCCCGCGAGCCTGTGCGAATCCCATCCCAGTTTTATTGCTGTCATTTGAGTCTCAAACAATAGTTTTCTCGCTCTCGCTCTCGTCCCCTCCCCCCCCGCCTCTTTTCCCCCAACCGCCCCTGTTTTCTCGGTGCACAGCTCAACTCGCTCCCCACCTACCGCCGCGCTCTACTATCTGAACGCCTGGAATAGGCTAACCGTAACCCAGACCTAACCCTAACCCTAATCCCCTTTTTGTAAAACATTCCTGGGGCTTCATCTGACAGATATAAATGATCGCATGACCTTTTTAAATCTCAATCACACGACATTCGACTTCACACTGCAGCGGCTTCAATACAAAACGAAAATCTCTTAGTGACCTAAAAGATCACCATGAAGATAATTTGTGCAGGTGTGGGAAAAACGGGTACCAAATCCATCGCCAAAGCCTTGCGTCATCTTGGATTCACTGTTTTTGACTGGGAAGAGCAAACATTTGATTTCCAAGACCACTGGGTCGATGTTTTCCAAAATGGCGCCAAGTTAGATGTGAAGAGAGTCTACCAACATGCTGACGCGGTCGTGGACTCTCCCGGAAGTTTTTTCTGGGAGGAAATACTGGAAGCTTATCCTGATAGTAAAGTGATTTTAAGCGAAAGAGAAGAAGATTCTTGGTTGAAGAGTATGGTCAATCAACTTCAAGTCATCGAGGCAGTGAAATCTCGCAGGTTTTTGTGTGTTCTCTCCCCAACTTCAAGAAAAGGGTTCTTTGTTTTATATTCTATTTTTAACGCTTTTCTTGGGACTGCAAACCCCAAGTCAGCTTGTATCTTGCGTAAGCGATACCGTGAGCACAATCACCGCGTTAAGTCGCTTGTTCCACCAGAGAAGCTGTTGGGGCGTGTACAACGTGAAGCAAAGTTGGAAACCGCTGTGTGATTTCTTGGGCTGTAAGGTTCCAACAGTTGCCTTCCCACATGAGAATATTAAGGGCCAAATCGCTGAAGTTCCCTTGTCTGAGACAAGATATGGTCGGCAAGGTTATTTGGGAAATACAGAGAGCTGTGATTGTGATCCTTTCTGTTATCGTAGTTATTGTAGGTTCAATTTTTGTCTTTTTCTCGTATTAACTGTGACTATTTTGCCATCCTTTCATTGCTGAGGTAACGTTTTAAAGGGAATAAAATTTAAGCACTTCTGGCATCGAAAGGATCAGTACTCTGAGTACATGATGTGAGTTTTAAACACATGGAACACCAGGCGTGACAAAAATATTCAAAAATAAAATGTTATTTGTATCATTGCCGGATGTATATGACGGGTTTAAATTGCTTTTAATCGGCTCTACGGTGAGGTATAAATACAGGTTGAAAGCATATCAGGAGCCGATTCTCCTGACCATATATACCGTGTGTGGCACGAAATTTTTGCGGGAGTTCGTTTTTGCGGATTGGCGATTTTTTTGGTTTGCGGGAACTAATTTTTGCGACTAGGACAGATTGAAGTACACAGTACGCAGCATTGACAATATTTTCGTTTTTATTGAGTACACTCTTTTTTTTCTATAAGAATATATTTTATAAGAATATCGAGGCTGAAATTTGCGAAATCTTAAGAATACTTTAAGAATAAACTCCAGGCTGAGATTTTGAAAAGGATATAATTTCGTGTGGCGAAAATCTGTAAATACAATACAAATATACCTTTTCAATTTATTCCTTTCTTTAAGCGGCAAAACTAGCTAACTATATTTAACAAACCTGTAATTCATACCTTAATATCTTCTAATTCGGAAATGTCATAAGCTATTATTAAGAATAATACAAGAATATTTACAGCCTAAAATCGGCGGAAAAATAAGAATATTCAGCCTGGCCCTGGAAAACAACATTCTTATAAAAAAAAAGAGTGTACGTCAAGAGCCATAATATGGCTCTTGAGTACGTGTAATAGAAATGCATATTTTAAAACAATACTACGGTGTGCGTCAGTATTTCTTTGTATACCGCTTTGTTTCTGAACGAAAAAGACAAGCTGTAAGAGAAGGTACGTTTTTTATTGGGGGAAGGGTGGGCCGCGGCTTCGGAGGGGAGGGTCCTTAGTACATTTTTGGCAAATTGGGGAGGGACAAACCTGTTTTATTCTCAACCGGGGGAGGGTCACAGTTTTTTTGGCCAGGAAAAAATTACTCCATGTCGCTTCTATTTTGTATATACAAGAAAAGCTACCAGTCAAGATTAATCTAAATTATTTACGGATGTCGAAAAATTTATATGTCAAAAAACTATCTTCTCCCAACTAACATAATTGTCTCTCTCGACCCGTGTCCGCTTTCGCCCATATTTTGATGTTTCCGCGCGGGGTTCTGTGATTTATTGCCTTCAAAGCCTTGCGAACTTCCCACTGGCGCTTTCTTTCAGTCACGAAACAGTGGTGAAAGCGTTCCTTGTAGGGACAAGTGGTCCAAACGGACAGGTAGAATTTTGGCAGAATACTATTTGAGAATTCAGTAATTCGCCCTTTGGGTTCGGGAACCACCCTAGGTCTTCATCTTTCCACTTCTCTGGACTTGCGCTTTCACAGCTTGTTCTCACAGCCGATGTGCCACCAACAGAGTCAGAGGAGGAACGGGCATCCTTTTTAACTCGTGGGTACGCGCGAGCGTACCACGAGTTATTGCAGGGACAGGGATATGCAAATGCGTCACTCGCTCACTCGTAGTAGACGCACTTCGTAATTAATCGGTTCCGAACTCGAGAGCGCGAAGATCTATCGTTTCCAAAGAAACACGCGCTCGCCGAAGTTCGGTGGCATCAAATTCCTCGCTGAGAGCGTGCATCGTGCGCTACAGCACGGCTTTCAGATTAATACGATTCAAGAGCCTTTGACTCGTCCAGGCGTTAAACTTCGACGCTGGCTTGATCTCCTACCTTGTAGTAATGTAGAAGGTTATGCGTATGAATTAATGTATGGTAAATAAAGGCACTTCTTCTTTTTCTCCTTAAGGACTCCCCAAGATCGCGGGGGGAAATGGATGTGATTTTGAGCATTAGCTTTAAAATGACAGCGGAAATCGAGATAAGAAAACATAAGGTTATGTTTTGCGTCCTATTTCGCGGAGGAGTTGTGTCGGCTTTGTATCGCATATGTTCTTTCATTGCCATGAAATGCGTTTACATTGTTTTTTACTGTCAGTAGCCTGGTTTCAATTAGCCTTAATTTCATCCGATTGCTTCGAGTCGTTTTTTCAGTTGGTTAAGAATGGCTCGATCGTTTACCGGCGGAAGTTCCATGGAAAAGGCATTAAATTTGAGACTTTTCACAATATTATGTGATTATCCTCAATGGCGTAGTGGCTATGTGAAGGCGGATCAACCCGAAGGTACCGGCCTTCAAATTCTGCTAGGGTCCTTCTTTTTTCCATCTTTTTTTTTTTTTTTTGTTTGCTTATTTGTTTTACTTGTTTTTGTTTTTAAATATATACCTAAATAACTGTTAATAAAGTGCAATAAACAGCAAGAAAAGTATTGTGTTTCCAGAACAAGGATAGTATATTTATAGTTTGAATTTCTATCATTTCCTAAAATTTACTGTGGGAAAACCAGAGGTAATAACTAATTGATTATTTTCTAAACAACGTACCCACCAGTTGACGATAGTCTTTCTTTGATTAGAATGGCGAGTCGGCAAACAGCCATCCTCGGAGACCCAGAGGCAGATAGAGGGGGCGTGGGAAAGTCTAAACGGTTGGAAAAGTATACGTATGGCACAAAGAAAAGTAAAGAACGGCGAGAAGAGCCCCTGGGGACAATGTCTTACCAGACCAGTTCTAAACGGTCACCGCCGTTCTGGTTTCTGATATGTACCAGGAAACTTTTTTGTTTTTCTGCCCAATCAGAAGCCAGTATCCACTGAAGGAAAAGCTATTCTTTGATTTTCCGGTATTGCATCCCATCGCACCTCTTGCCGTTTGTCTGTTATTGGCGATAACACGAGTAAGCTTTTGAGCACAAGATCGAGACTACCCCAAGAGACTCTCTAACTTAAATTTTTGAGACAAAACTTTTGTTAACATTAATAGAAAAAAAAAAAGCCATGAGAAAAGTGACTTCCCTATATTTCGGACGGACTGAGTCGTCCTTCTCTTTTCTCTTTGCTGTTTTTTTTGTCTATATTTTGTCTTGGATAAAACAGCAGGATTTGGCTCTTGTCATTTTATATATAAAAAAGTTTCTACATTTATAAGACTCAATCTGCCTCAAACTGAAAATGGCTTTATAATTTTCTTAATTTGTTCCGATTTTGGAGGGCAAGGGGTCTTCTAATGTTAAAAAAACACCGTATTAATTCATTCATATACGAGTACCATTAGCTTGAAAGTTACAAATTATTATCACATGCAAGCAAGAACTCTCAGAGATGGAGTAAACAATCATTTATTGCGAAGCTAAAAAACTAGTTGCACCTGATAACTCCAAACCCAAATGTTTAAAGGGGAGGGGTAGAGCGGCCGGAGTCAAGGCAGTGGAGCGGCATGGAGGATTTTGAATTTGGTCGCTTCAGACAAAGTGAGCCAACGACATAAACTAAATAGGCATCACTCTTCCCAACCAGCGTGACAGGCGTTAAAAGGAGAAGGGGAAGGGGGAATTTGGACGCCCGCCAAGCAGGCTCCTCTCTTCCAATCGCCTTGTGCTTTGATAAAGGCGTTAATGGAGCTTCATGGCAAAAAGCGAATCGCGCCTCCTCTACGAAAACTATGCGAGCAGTAGGAAGCAGGTTCGACGCTGATCGCGTAAAGCAACACTTTAATAACAGCATTATACTGCTGGTTAGCCAGGATAGGCCTGTAAACGCCCTACAATACAAATAATGATCAAGGTGGTAGCTGGACACTGGCCATTAATAATCGTCACTGGATCGCATAGGATTTATTAAGTCATGAGATACTATCCGGCTCCTAACATTTTTCTCGTACAAACTGAATCACTTTTTCAACTATTGTTTTCGCCATAAAAGAGAAAATTGTTCATGGTCCTACATTTTTTATACCAAAGCGGGGTATATTTTCGACACAGTCCTCTCGTAAAAGGAAAATTGCAGGTCATCCACTCAATCAGTCAATAATACAAATAACAAAACAATATAACTACAACAGCTACGATAACAGAAAGAATTACAAACAGAGCTCTTTGTATCTCCAATATTGCCTGTCGACCAGATCTTGTCTCAGACAAAGGAACTTCAGCGATTTCGCCTTTGATATTTTCATGCGGAAAGGCAACTGTTGGAACTTCGCAGCCCAAGAAATCACACAGCGGTTTCCACCCTTGCTTTACGTTGTACACCAACAGTTTCCCTGGTGGAACGAGGGACTTAACGCGATGATTGTGGATACGATATCGCTTACGGAAAACACAAGTGGAACTGGGATTTGTAGAGCCAGAAATAGCATTAATGTAAGAGTATAAAACGAAGTACATTTTTCTTGCAGTTGGAGAGAGCATTCTGTAAAATTCCCGGGATTTCACGGCATTGATAACTTGAAGTTGATTGACTGCACTTTTTATCCAAGAGTCTTCTTCTCGTTCGCTTAAAACTACTTTACTATCAGGAAAAGCTTCCAGTATTTCCTCCCAGAAGAAGGTTCCAGGAAAGTCAACGACTGCATCAGCATTTTGGTAGACTCTCTTCACATCTGGCTGGGCGCCACTTTTGAAGACATCAACCCAGTGGTCCAAGAAATCAAATGTTTGCTCTTCCCAGTCAAAGACGACGAATCCAAGGTGACGCAGAGCTTTGGTGATTGATTTAGTACCAGTTTTTCCTAGACCTGCACAAATTATCTTCATGATTAGATCTCTTCAGTCAATGTCAGGTCGACCAAAAAAAAATCGAGTGTTTTTTTGAGCTGCCTGCTGCGTACTGAAATTTTGGGAAGCAAAGGTATGTTAATAACCATGTAGAATATGTAAACAAGTATCTAAACAAGTATGTAAATAACCGGTTATGGGCCCGCCCTTCTGGGCTCGAAAGTCCTCGTTTATCAATCGGGTAGTGTTAAAAATGATACATTGCCAGTTACACCGTATTTGATTGCTCTAATCAAGTTATATTTTTGGTTGTGTGCATGCTCCAAATCACCTTCAACCCGAATGATTAATTACGTCAATACAATTACAAATTGCCTCAAGGTCACGCGAACTAAAGGCCAGGTCACGCAAATCCAGAACCCACCTGGCTAATATAAACATCTATGAAGGTACAAAGTACGACAAAGAAAATTCGGAGAATTATTAGAATGCAATTTCTATTTTACAACGCGTGGAGTTCCATGTTGTCGGGGTATTTCGTTTCCTACGACATGCCCAGTGTGAAGTCGGGTCGAGTTTCTTGAATTGAGAAAGTTTAAAATGTCCTTATTTAAAGGAAGAAACAATCTATCAACTGTGGAACTGGTCTATCAACAAAAGCCAAAATAGTTTGATGGTTGTGAGGATAACAGTTTCTCGTTCTAAAGATCTATAAACTATTCCCATCAATGAAACTGATCAAGGACTTCTACTTTTTAACCCTAAGGAGGGTGACTAGCATCAAATTTCTCCTAAAAATTTGCCTGCTTTTGTCATTTGCCTAAAAGTCATGAGAGTAAAGGAAAGGTCCGACAATTCAAAACGTTCATCACTACCATAGAAAATGTGCGAAGAACGTCATAGAGAATCTGCATGCTGGATAACGTTTGATCGAACTCCGTAACGGCATGGGCAGATTTAGGTATAATCCAGGGGACTGCGGCCCCACCCTTTTATGTGAATAAAAAAA